GGAAGCCTCAGGTCTAGTGGAGTCGGGACCTTCACACTTTTTTAAACTTTTCTCAGAGCATAATACCCTGATTCTTTAAGAATGGCGCTCTTTGGCTTGGAGGGGGCATTTCGCACTTTCGCTAGTTTATTTTGCTAGGTCATGTTGATTGACAGGTCTCACTTTGGTGAGAACGGGTCAGCGAAATTCGCACGTCTTCACAAGGTGGACTGTATAAGCTTAGCTGAATATCATCAATATCCCCCACGAAGTCGTCCTCTATCGAAATTTTGTTTATTATATTCATTATTATTATATAATATTATATATTATATTTGTATTATAATTTGGTTTATTTTTATTTTATATTTTATGTTACTTCATATTCATCATATTATATTATTTATTATATTTATATTTATCTTGATTTTCTAAAAAAACTGAGTTCAGGCGAGTTTAGGTAACTAGTGCGATCTCTTTTTTCGAAATGAGAAAGTAAATTGTTGACGAAATGATTGAGTTTAGGGAAGATCGCTAGATCGCTGAGTCAGCGATTTTGAGTAGGGCCTTATAAAAGGGAAGCCCCTTTTTGTTGTCTATCGGACGCTGTGGTGAGCACAAAGAACGATCAAATGCATGCATAGCTTCAGAACACGCGTATCGAGCGCGAGAAAAACTGCAACATTCCCGAATGAAAGTGATACGCTCCCGGCCCCAATATTAATCGATTAATCGATCATTGATTCGTTTTTTTTATTCATGGGGGACTTGATTCTTGGACCCAGGGCAAAGCATGGGGGGGCAAGTTTTTCCAGGTTCCTACTTTCCATTAATTTCCATTAATTTCAACAGTTGTGATCAATCGATATTCTGCGTATTTCAGCCGAAGATATCCGATCACAATGGAAAAATCTCAAGGACACTTTCGTGCGAAAGTTACGATGGGTTTCGGAGGGAAAGTGCGTTTTTAGTCAGCTTTCGGGTCAAAACAGTCTCTCTTCCCGAAAGCGAATGGGCGGGGAGGGACAAGCGGTTGCGTTGCGGATCGATCATCTGTTTAGCTAAATGAGTCCTCGTTCTTTATTGAGTTTCTTTAGTCACTGTTTTTTTTCTGTTTTGGAACACCATGAAGTAAAAGAGTACCTCAAAAGCCGCTGAAGAAACTACGGGGTCCGAATGCGTTTGAACGCGACGCGACCGCATCGCGCCCCTTGCCCGCCCACTCTCTTCGTAAGATATGGGGAGATCTTGTGGATTTTCAGCAGTTTTCTTAATGTTTCATTGTTCAGATATACTGATGATCCTCTAAAGGAACCGACCTGGAAATTCTATCGGATGTTGTCGTTTCTAGACGATAAGGAGTCTAAACGGCTCTCCAGCGACCATCCGATATTCGACATCGCAGCGCTCCAGAGAGACCATGGGTAACTGGAATCTCCCATTCTACCTAAACAAAACTGCACTCTCATCCTAACCTTCTAGACTGGATCTAGTGAAAAGTGAGCTCCAACATATCCAATATGACGGCAGTAATCAAAGTGCAGCTTCCAGTGAAGAACAGATGCTTTCCCTGTTCGCACAGGTGGGAGTGAGTGCTAATTAATTGGGCCAGGTCTATTTTTTTTCTAGATCTCAGCGCACATATGCATTTTTTTCAGTCCTACTCAAGTGCAGAAAAGCCTCCGACTCAGCTCGATTCGCCGCCGTCGCCTTCTTTACCACCGGTGTCCAGTGCAGACGCGACAGCTGCAGATAACATCGGGACGAAGAGTAACGCTGCCTACACACATTCCATGGACGAGGAGGAGGAACCGAGACGGAAACGTATGATAAGTGTGTCTCATAGCGTAGTTCGTACATCGCGCGAACTGCCGGTGTTGGGTTGTGAACAGGACACTCATATTTTGTATTGGGGATTTTGTGCGAGCCCTACTCTCCTTTTTTTTGGGGAGGGGGGGAGTGCTATGACCCCCCTCCGGCCCTCTCGTCCCCCTTATCCGAGCGTCGAAGCGGGGGAAGCCATACGAAAACAGGAAAATCACAAAAAGTCAACCACCCACTCCACGAATAGGCTGGAAGTAAATAACTACCCCCTCTCAACGTAGCAAGGGCGATCACACCTTTTACAACGATCGATGAAGACGATCGAAAAAATCAACTAAAATAAATTTTTCTCAGCCCAAATACGACCCCCCTCTCCCGGCGACCAAATACGACCCCTGTTGTGGATTCCCCAACAACGATGTGCCCTGGTTCAGAATGGTGTGGCTGGAAAGAAGGATTCAAATGTGGGCGTGGTCCTTGAACACTTGGTCAATCATTCCGTCTTCGGACGAGTTGCTGCGACCATGACCATGAAAATGTGCTTTTTCAGGAAGTGGCTTCGTTTATTCATGTCCCGTAATTTCAATCGTATTAGCAGTGCAACCTAAAAAAGACCCCCCCCCCATGGAGGAAGTTCCGACAGCTCATAAGAGCATGAGTTGGTGGCAGCGAGGGGCAGGAAGCGGTGGAAGCAGTAGAGAGTGGCTACTTACCTTCGTAGGCAAACAGTGACAGATAACCAGGCGAGCTAACCTCAATGGCAAAAATAGACGTACACCCGGGGCAAGACAACTTGTCTGAAGGGGGCAGAGCACAAGGACTAAATCCGAGGAGAGGGGGTGGGCGGAACACACCGAGTGGCTCACTGATTGCTCCTTGAAACGGAATCCTCCTTTTGCCCAATTACAGGACTCTCTGAGAACGCGCAATTTCTTCCATTGTACCACTATACTGCATTTTTTTTCTGAGATCAGGCTAGACTCCTTCAGTGAGAACTCAGGTGTAGGTCAGGATATTCATGTTTTGCTGGAACTAGCCAGTATTTCCTAGCTAGTTGACTCGATATACTGGACACTTCCACTTCAAAGACACCTTACGTGATAAATGGATGGGTGGCAAGTGGCGTAGTTTCCACACTGGTGTGCCCCTCCTCTTCACTCCTCGTATCGATCGATGAGCTGGGCCTATGAGGAAGGAGCAGTGACTATGAGTCCCCGCCCAATTCCCCTCCTATCCGGTTGTCGCGGAATGTGTCGTTACAAGTAATCCCTAGCGCAACAGTAATGAACGTCCCCCCCCCATGCAGTGCAGCATTCGCTCGCGTCGCTGCAATGGGGATCTTCTGGGCTACACCCTGATAACTTATGTCGTATACTCGTCCAAGTTAGTACGACTTTTTGGCGCTTTGAGCGAACTCGTCCATTTTCAGGCCTATCATCGCCGGCAAGCCTTCACGTCACAACCTCAACAGCAAGACGAGTTCGAGCTGTTCGGGGCGATAGTTGCTGCTCAACTGCGCAGGTATGAAGCATTATTCGGCGCAGTTTGTCGACGGGGGGGGGGGCTATTTTGCTTTCCATAGATGTGACGAACCATCTAGGCAGCCGCGTTTCTCGACTTGACACGTTTTAGGATTAGTGGTGGACGATCTTACTAGGGAAGTTGTCAGGTCGAAGCTGGCTTTTGTTTTGATGAGTTAGAGATCACTAGACGTGGTTTTGGACGCTGATCTTGAATCTGCCTTCAAAATTTGCAAAGCGATTCTCTGAACGGAGTTATGGAGCCGCGTTTACCACAGGTCATGGGATCGGATCCCTGCTGAGCTTAACTTTTTTGCTTGTTGCGCAAACGTGGCAAAAAGTGATTTTGCCGTCACTTCAGTTCTCACCTGAGCTTGTCTGAAGAAAAGTTTGCCTCCATTTATTACTGCGCTTGGACTCCTTGTAGACTACAGTGCACTACAGTGCTTCTACAAGGAGTCCAAGCGCAGTAATAAATGGAGGCAAACTTTTCTTCAGACAAGCTCAGGTGAGAACTGAAGTAGTAGTGACGGCAAAATCACTTTTTGCCACGTTTGCGCAACAAGCAAAAAAGTTAAGCTCAGCAGGGATCCGATCCTATACTCTGGTAAAACGCGCTCCATAACTCCGTTCAGTAGAATAGCTTGGCAAATTTTAAAGCGCAGATTCAAGATCATCACAAATGGCCACTTCGACTTGACGACCTTCCTAGTTAGTTCAGGCTTCACAAGAGTTCACAAGTTTTACCAGAGTGAGATTTGTAAACCGGAACTAGGGAAGCAATGATAATACAAAATGCCCCCCCGTCGACAAACAGCGCCGCATTATTCTTCTCAAAGGGCGTTCATACCTCGCCATCCAATCGCCTGGCTCGCGCGATTCGCAATCGGATCGCGAAGTATGGACGCGCTTTCATATAATTTTTCTTCCCTATTGTTTGAATCACCTTTGAAAACACCACCTTCCAGAGTTTCGGACGACTTTTCACGTGCCGCGTCGCTACGACTACAAAAGAAACTGAATGACGTCATATTCGAGTCACAAATGGAATTGCTCGAAAACGGGAACTAATCCAAGTAGTCAACGACGATCAATATCGATCAATGTGCATATTATGCATAGTCGCGTAGATCAGTTTTATTAAAAAAACTTATCAAACAAAATCAAATCAAACGGATAATATACGGAAAGAATTCATTGAATGCATGTGTGAATTTGTTCATATTGAGCAGTTTAGGCGATAAGGCTGGAATAAAAATTTAAAGGACGCGTAATAATGTTAGAGCACAGAGAAACAGAGTTATACAGTAAGACGCGAATACTGTAACATACAGTACCTCGTGTGTAAATAAAGCATGATGCGAGGTCCTAACTACCCGAGATCAAGGACCGTCGCGTGTTTTGTATGTCCGAATGCAAATCGATACATTTTTCCGATTATTACGCAACTGCTGCACGCTTTCACAGGTACAGGTTCGCAAACGCTGCATGGTTTACAGAATAGTTTTGAAAAGCTGCACGATTTTACAGATTTGAATTCGCCCACACAAATCACTCACAGTCTACAGCCTATTCGAATCGTCAAAATGACTAAAATATATATGTGGTCAGAGATGCAGAGGATCGTCGAATCTGTCCGTCTGCACTCTGACCTAGAGTACTAGTTTTGTGGATGGCTGATGTTTGTATCATTTGAACCATTGGATAATGGCAGACTATCAGCCGTTGCACAACTGGTCGTCAACCGGTTAAGTCGTCCTCTACTTCTGGTTCCATGGG